AGCACAGCACCAACGTCCCCACCACCACTGTCCCCACTGTTCCCACCACTGTCCCCACTGTCCCCACCACTGCCCCCACCAATGTCGCACTGTCCTCACTGTCCTCTCCTCTGTTCCCACCACGGTCCCACTCTCCCCATTGTCCCCACTGCCCCCACCACTGTCCCAGTGTTCCCACCGTCCCCACCACTGTCCCACTGTCCCCAGTCCCCGCCGCTGTCCCGCTGAGCGTCCCACTGTTCCCACCACTGTCCCCATTGTCCTCACCACTGTCCCCACTGTACCAATGTCCCATTGTCCCACCACCATCCTCACCACCGCCCTCACCACTGTCCCCACCACCACCGTCCCCACCACTGTCCCACTGTCCCTACTGCCTCCACCACTGTCCCACTGTCCTCACACCACTGTCCCCACCACCACCGTCCCCACCACTGTCCCACTGTCACCGCCAGTGTCCAGCTGTTCCCGCTGTTCCCACCATTGTCCCCACTGTCCCCAATAGTGCCCCCACCAGTGTCTCACTGTCCCCAGTGTCCCCACCACTGTCCCACCACGGTCCCACTCCCCATTTTCCCCCCTGTCCCCACCACTGTCCCAGTCCCCACTGTCCCCACCACTGTCCCACTGTGCTGTCCCACTGTCCCCACTGTACCCACCACTGTCCCACTGTCCCCACTGTCCCCACTACTCTCCCCACTGTACCACTGTTCCATTGTCCCACCACTGTCCTCACCACCGCCCTCACCACTGTCCCCACCACTACTGTCCCCACCACAGTCCCACTGTCCCCACTGTCCCCGCCACTGTCCCGCTGTCCCCTCACCACTATCCCCACCACCACCGTCCCCACCACTGTCCCACTGTCCCCACCACCGCCCAAGTCCCCACACCACTGTCCCCAGCACCATCGTCCCCACCACCACCGTCCCCACCAATCCCAATGTCCCCACCACTGTCCCACTGTCCCGAGGAGCGGGAATCGTTTGCCGGCGGCGAGGGTGGGGGTCGAAACCAATAATGCCCCCCCCCCTTTTCATGATGGACTGGGGGGGGTTCGAACAAGTAGTGACCCCCCCCCCGGTTTTCGAGGGGGGGGGGACGGGTTGGGAACCCCCAGTGACCCCCCCCCCCGGTTTTCCGCCAGCAGCGGGGTAGAACACGCTCTTTCAAACATCGGAATCGAATCGGATCGGCCCAGCCGAAGTCGATATCAAATCGGATCGGATCGAAATGGACACTGCATACGGTCATCGCGCTACCACACGGAACGCTGAATATGGAACGAATGGTATGTTCTGGCAAAGGCGAGCGTCGGCCTCGAATAGTTCCACCAACCTAGATCTAAGGAGCGGCCCGCATGCCAGAGCCCCTCTTGAGCCCGAAGTGGCCATTCTTCCAGAATGTAGACTGCAAATGGCACTCCAGTGTCGCCCTCCTCTGTCTGGGGATCGGGCAGGGGCGTTCCCACTCTGCCCTCTCTGGATGACCCCGAACTTGCCTCAGACTCTCGGGAATCGATCGAGGCATCAGGAGCCGATCCGGCGGCCCGCGCCTCCCCCTCCTCCTCCTCCTCGGAGTTTCCGGCCAGTTCTTCGGCATCGTCATCTACTTCTTCCTCTTCTGCTTCTTCTTCTGCATCCTCGGGGATCGTGGAGGGAACTGACAGACCGAAGTGGGTGGGGAACTAGAGCGGGGATTGACGCTGGCAAGCACCGAGAGGCACAAAAGTCGGAGAGTTGGAGTGGGTGGGCAAGCATTGACAAGCCGAAAGCCGGTATGCGAAGGAAGAGGGTATGCGGTGCCACTGGGTGGCAACATCTCAGAAGAGTGTCACCATCGGTACCCCCACCGCAACGAAGAGAGGAGCAAACGGTGGCAGCATTATTTCATGGAGGTGGTTGGTAGTACGGCATGTTGGTGCAGACCCAAAGCGAGCTAGTGCCACACGCATGCACGGGGACTAAACATTCCTTTGCTCTACGTCACACTTGCGTGCAGGACTCGATCCACACCTTGAGTGGCTATACAAACGTGGGCCTCAACCACATCAACGCCTAGATGCTGGGAGCAGTGGGTACTGCTAGGCGGGCACATTAGAAGACTGGACGGTCGCCTCGTAGGAGCACACAAGGTGGCATGGGACGCACTGGGACATACTAATACTATATGTCCTCCTTGGAGGCGCGCGTCCGACTCGAACATATAGTATACCCATCTTGTAGTATATCGCTTCCCGAGCGGTGTGGCCAGAAAGCGCCCGCCACGACGCATGTACTATAATATTTCTCGGTGCGCGCGTCGCCCCTGGAGGGGGGAAGCACATATAGTATAAGTATGCTGGGGTGACGCCGATGGCATGTCCGAGCCTGAACAAAGGGTTTGTGCCTTACGGTGGTATTGGCAGTGTAACTGGCACACAGAGGGCGCAATCGATAGGGCCACGTGACGCCTCACCGCATGGCGGTAGCGGCGATTTCGCCGACTCTTCCTGTTGGGCGCGGGCTCGCATCGCCTGGGTCTCGCTTCGCCCGGGCTCGCTTCGCCGGGGTCTCGCTCCGCCCGGGCTCGCTTCGCCCGGGTCTCGCTTCGCCCCGGGATTGCTTCGCCCAGCTCGCTTCGCCCGGCTCGCTGGGCTCGCTTCGCCCGGCGGTGAAAGATCGCGCGGTGACTTCGAGGAGGGAGGAAGGAGGAGGGAAAAGGGGAGGAGAAGGAGGGAGGCGGAGGACGGAGGAGGGAGGCGGAGGAGGAGGAGGAGGAGGAGGAGGAGGAAGTAGGGAGGAGGAGGAGGGAGGAGGGAGGAGTGAGGAGGGGAGGAGGAGGAGGAGGAGGAGGAGGAGGAGGCGGGGGAGGAGGAAGGGGAGGAGGAGGAGGAGGAGGAGAAGGGGGAGGAGGAGGAGGAGGGAGGGGGAGGAGGAGGAGGAAGAGGAAGAGAAGGAGGAAGAGGAGGAGGAAGAGGAGGAGGAGGAGGAGGGAGGAGGGAGATTGCTTCTTACCTGTCCGAGGTCCCCGCGCGACGCGCGCTGCGATTCGACTAGCTCGGTCTTGCAACGGGTAGTACGCACGGCTGTCGTGGGGGGAGCCCCGGAAGGAGGGGGAGGAGGAGGAGGAGGGGGAGGGGAGGAGGAGGAGGAGGAGGAGGAGGAGGAGGAGGAGGAGGACGAAGGAGGAGGAGGAGGAGGAGGGAGAAGGAGGATGAGGAGGAGAAGCAAAGGGCAGCTCGATCGCGGCGGTTGCGGCGATCGCCACCGGCACGCGCCGTGGTACTCCGCGGGGTCTTCGTCTCCGCCGCCACCGCCGACCGCGCCCGCCCGACCCGACCCGACCCACCCGTTAGGTTTTCGCATGCCATCTCGATGATGCACCACACTTTAATGTCCCGCCCACCCGACCCGCCCGTTAGGGTCCGCCCGCCCGACCCGACCCGCCCGATAGGGTCCGCCCGACCGACCAAACCCGACCCGCCCGTTAGGGTTTTCGCCTGTTCGCTCGTGTACGCACCACACTTTAATGTCCCGCCCACCCGACCCGACCCGCCCGTTAGGGTCGCCCGCCCGACCCGACCCGCCAGTTAAGGTCTGCCCGCCCGACCCGTCCCGACCCGCCCGTTTGGGCACCCGCGTGCCACCTCGGTTATGCACCACACTTTATTGTCCCGCCCGCCCGACCCGACCCGCCCGTCAGGGTCCGCCCGCCCGACCCGACCCGACCCGCCCGCTAGGGTCCGCCCGACCCGACCCGACCCGTCCGTTAGGTTCTCGCGCGTTCGCTCGCGCATGCGCCACATTCTTGGCGTGCCCACCCGAACCGACCCGCCCGCTGGGGCCCCGCCGCCCGACCTGACCCGCCCGTCAGGGCTCACGCGTGCTCGGTCGTGTATGCGACACATTCTCTTGCACAGGGTGTCTGGAGCTCCGACCAATTTGTTTCGGCACGGCACCCCCTCCATCACCCACACATTCCACCAGCCAGCGCACCCCTCCGCTTCGACCCCCTGCATTTCGGCACGGCACACCCGTCCGCCCCGACCCTTTTTATCTCGGCACGGCACACCCCTCCACCCCCTCTGCATCCCCCCCACCCACCAGCCAGCGCGCCCCTCCGCCCCGACCGTCTTATTTCGGCACGGCACACCCCTCCGCCCCGACGCTTTTATTTCGGCACGGCACACACACACACACACACACACACACACACACCCTCCGCATCCCCCCCACCCACCAGCCAGCGCGCCCCTCCGCCCCGACCCATTTTTATTTCGGCACGGCACACCCCTCCGCCCCGACCCCTGTAGTTCGGCACGGCACACCGCCTCCACATCCCCCTTACCCACCAGCCAGCGCGCCCCTCCGCCCCGACCCCTTTATTTCGGCACGGCACCCCCCCTCCCCCTCCATCCTCCCACCCACCAGCCAGCGCACCCCCTCCGCCCCGGCCCTTTTATTTCGGCACGCCCCCCCCCCGCGCCCCCTCCGCCCCGACCCCTTTATTTCGGCACGGCACACCCTCCGCCCCGACGCCTTTATTTCGGCACGGCACACCCCCTCCGCATCCCCCACCCACCAGCCAGCGCTCCCTCCGCCCCGACCGCTGTATTTCGGCACGGCACACCCCTCGCCCCGATTTCTTTATTTCGGCACGGCACACCGCCTCCGCATCCCCCCACCCACCAGCCAGCACGCCCCTCCGCCCCGACCCCTTCATTGCGGCACCGCACACCCATCCGCCCCGACCCCTTTATTTCGGCACGGCACACCGCCTCCGCATCCCCCCACCCACCAGCCAGTGCGCCCCTCCGCCCCAACCTCATGATTTCGGCACGGTACACCCCTTCACCCCGATTTCTTTATTTCGGCACGGCACACCCCCTCTGCATCCCCCCACCCACCAGCCAGCGCGCCCCTCCGCCCCGACCCTTTCAGTTCGGCACGGCACCCTCCTCCCCCATCCCCTCCTTGTCCCCCCGCCCACCAGCCAGCGCGCACACACACACACACACACACACACACACACACACACACACACACACACAAACACAAACACAAACACACACAAACACACACACACAAACACACACACACACACACACACACATACACACACTCACAAGCCAGCGCGCCCCTCCGCCCCGACCCCTTCATTTCGGCACGGCACCCCTCCGACCCGACTCCTTTATTCCCCATATCCTAAGATGGGGTTCTTGTTATTACTTGGACGCCTCCTACTCCTTCTCCTTCCTCCTCCTCTTTTCTCCTCCCCTCCTGTCGGGCTTACTCATACTCAGACTTGCTCATACACAGACTTACTCATACTCAGACTTACTCATACTCAGACCTACTCATACTCAGACTTACTCACACTCAGACATACTCATACACAGACTTACTCATACACAGACTTACTCACACCCAGACGTACTCATACACAGACTCACTCATACCCAGACTTACTCATACACAGTATTAGTCATACTCAGACTTACTCATACCCAGACGTACACATACACAGACTTTCTCATACACAGACCTACTCATACCCAGACTTACTCATACACAGACTTACTCATACACAGACTTACTCATACTCAGCACCCCTAAGGGGAGCCGCCAGGGGTGGTTGCACGGGCTCGTTCGCGGCCATTTTGTGGGGATGTCTCAGGCGGTTTGCCTGTTTCTGTGCCCAACATCCTTCGCTTTCGGAGCAGATTTGGAGGATGTCTCGAGCGAGGCGCTCATTTCAGCACCCCTAAGGGGAGCCGCCAGGGGTGGTTGCACGGGCTCGTTCGCGGCCATTTTGTGGGGATGTCTCAGGCGGTTTGCCTGTTTCTGTGCCCAACATCCTTCGCTTTCGGAGCAGATTTGGAGGATGTCTCGAGCGAGGCGCTCATTTCAGCACCCCTAAGGGGAGCCGCCAGGGGTGGTTGCACGGGCTCGTTCGCGGCCATTTTGTGGGGATGTCTCAGGCGGTTTGCCTGTTTCTGTGCCCAACATCCTTCGCTTTCGGAGCAGATTTGGAGGATGTCTCGAGCGAGGCGCTCATTTCAGCACCCCTAAGGGGAGCCGCCAGGGGTGGTTGCACGGGCTCGTTCGCGGCCATTTTGTGGGGATGTCTCAGGCGGTTTGCCTGTTTCTGTGCCCAACATCCTTCGCTTTCGGAGCAGATTTGGAGGATGTCTCGAGCGAGGCGCTCATTTTCACCCCCCAGGTGGGCCAGATTTTGAGGATGTCTCGATCGGTTTGCTTGTTTTGGTGGCCAGGCTCGTGGGCGCAGATTCTTCTCAGGATGCCACAGGAGGCTCCAACAGGCTCCAGGAGGCCCCAGGAGACCACATGAGGTCCCAGGAGGCATCAGGAGGCCACAGAAAGACTCAAGAGGCCACAGGATGTCCCAAGAGGCTCCAGGAGGCCCCAGGAAGCTCCAGAAGGCCTCAGGAAACCACAGGAGACCCCAGGAGACAACAGGAAGCGCCAGGAGGCCTCGGAAGGCAACAGGAGGCCCCGAGAGGCCCCAGGAGCAGGAGGCCTCAGAAGGCAACAGGAGTGGCTCCAATCCCATGTGGTTTACGTATGCTCCTATCGATTGGGCCTCACCTGGAGCACGATTCTTTGATGTTCTACGTATGTTTCTATAGATGGTCCTTCTCCTGTGTACACAATCCTAAATGTTTTACTCATGTTCCTATGTATTGGGCCTCTCCTGGGGCACGAGTCCTTGGTGTTTTACGCGTGTTCCTATAGATTGCCCTTCTCCTGTGGCTCTAATCCGCAATGTTTTATGTACGTCTGTTGCTATAGACTGCGCCTCCCCTGGGGCACGAAACCTTCCTAGGAGGTCCCAGGAGGTCCCAAGAGGCTCCTGGAGACCCCAGGAAGCCCCAGTAGGTTTCAGGAGGCCCCAGGAGGCCCCAGGCTCATGCACAGAGACGCGCTCGTACTACTGAGGCTCATTCACACTCCAATTCATTCGCAGTTAGATTGATGTCCAGACCGTCACAACTGAAGCCCGTTAATATTCGAAAGCTCTTGCGCCTAGACATTCACGGCGGACAGGTCCATGCGAGTAGATGCACATATGGGGAGCTCCACGCAGTGAATAATTCTTTTGTATGGGGTGTTCAGAGCTCCGACCACTTTATTTCGGCACGGCACCCCCTCCATCACCCACCCATTCCATCAACCAGCCAGCGCGCCAGCCAGCGCAACCCCGGCGCGCCCCCATCCCCCCCACCAACCAGCCAGCGAACCCCCTCCGCCCCGACCCTTTTATTTCGGCACGGCACCCCCCCATCCCACGCGCCCCCCCCCCGCAGCCCCCCCACCCACCAACCAGCGCGCCCCCTCCGCTCGACCCTTTTATTTCGGCACGGCCCCCCCTCACCCACCAGGACCACCATCCCCCCACCCGCCAGCCAACGCGCCCCTTCCGCCCGGACCCTCTTATATCGGCACGGCACACCCCTTCCCCACCCACCGACCCAGACCACCACCACCCCACCCACCG